TAACACACACAGAACAAACAGGAGGATTTGCAAAACATTCGAATAGCCATAAATTAAGATACTCTCTAAATATAAATTAACATTTTGAAAGTCAATCTTTGGAGATGATCTGATAACTCAAGCTATTATGTGTTGTATCTGCGCTCAAGACTGACCTGCTGACGTCGGGGAAGTGGACCGGGTAGAAAAGGACTTCACATTTAGGCCGGATCAGCTGTTCCAGGTCTTTGGGTCGGTGGTCCGGGATCTTCTTCATGAAGGAGGAGATGGAGGAGAGGAAGGACTCCATGTTGAAGGAGGAGTTAAACACCACCACGTCAGCCACCAGGCTAACAGGAAACAGGAAGAGACACTGCGTCAGCCAGTAGGCTAACGGGAAACAGGAAGAGACACCACGTCAGCCACCAGGCTAACAGGAAACAGGAAGAGACACCGCGTCAGCCACCAGGCTAACAGGAAACAGGAAGAGACACCNTTGTTTCTGGTGTCCTTTGACAGCTCTTTGGTCTTGGCCATAGTGGAGTTTGGAGTGTGACTGTTTGAGGTTGTGGACAGGTGTCTTTTATACTGATAACGAGTTCAAACAGGTGCCATTAATACAGTTAACAAGTGGAGGACAGAGGAGGCTCTTAAAGAAGAAGTTACAGGTCTGTGAGAGCCAGAAATCTTGTTTGTTTGTAGGTGACCAAATACTTATTTTCCACCATAATTTGCAAATAAATTCTTTAAAAATCAGACAATGTGATTTTCTGCATTTCTTTTCTCATTTTGTCTCTCATAGTTGAAGTGTACCTAGGATGAAAATTACAGGCCTCTCTCATCTTTGTAAGTGGGAGAACTTGCACAATTGGTGGCTGTCTAAATACTTTTTTCCCCCACTATATAACTAGTGAAATGTTTCATAACATGCCTGCTAAATATTATAATTTTAGCTTAATCATGACCACGCTGTAGACTACTGGCTTTAGCGTTTAGCTTCAATAATAGCCTCCTTGAGACACTAGCATGCATGGCTGTATGTTTATCTCATGCATCCTTTTTGTTAGCAATAAATGTATCCTTGTCAAAAAATATTATGCAATCTGGAAATAAACTTTGGTATTTTAAGGTTGTCCAAGTAAGTCAATCACCATAGCGTGCTTGTTATGTCATTACATTTCATTTCAATGCATTTGCCTTTCACATGATTCAAGTGTATAGCAGATATGATAATAAGCTGCAACAAGCAGCGCCCCCTCCTCAGCTCCCCTCCTTTCAACCACCATTTCCTGCCTGTTTCTTCAGAGCTCCCCACCATCTGAGACCGACCTGTTTTGTTTGGACAGTGATGAAGAATGTGGTTTCAGCAAGCGCTAGATTTAACGCACATATTTTCAGTAACGACACTAGCAAAGCCACAAGTTTTCTTTCACAGAGACTGAAGGAAAGTGTGGGTCGAGTTGTGAGAATTGAAATTTCTCAATTATTGACCATTTGTTAAACCTGAACCACAGTTGAGGAGCAAGAGAAAGACGTTTAGATCTTAATGGTACAGTCAAGCAGTGTTAATACAAAAAAACACTTACTGTAGGTACATTACCGGATATCTTACTGTCCTGCAATAAACTCAACAAGTCTAGGCCTTTTTTTCGGTGGTGTAATACTCAATGATTTTGTAGTTACAGTGAGTGTATATTTAAGAGTAAGGTACAAAAACATTTAAAAATAGATCTTTAAAGTGTTTCAAAGCTCTTCCTATTCAAGTAGAAACTAGGTGAAATGTCTATTGGGAGAGGAAGTAGCTTAGACATTTGTATTTTGAGAGATTAACTCATCATGTCAACCTGGTGGACAGTAGTACAGTATAGGCAACAGCCAGTTAACTTAGATTAGCAGACAGACTGGCTGCAGGGCTAAACTATTTGCCTGACTTTATCAGAATTAACAAATGTACTTACCAGCACCGCTAAAGCTCAATGATTACCATGTAATATCTCAATTGTATAAATATAGGTTAGGTGTTTCCCACCGTTTCCAGTCTTTATGCTTAGCCAAGCTAACTGTCTCCTTGCTGTAGCTTCATTCTCAACGGAGCTCTGACCATTGTTAATGAAAGGGAAAATCCACTGAGAACATTCATCCCTAAATCTCTCATACAAAGTCTTCTCAAATGTTCTCAACCTTGAACTGTGGTGTTTGTTTTGCATAATAGGGTTGTTGCTATCATACAAATGTTTCCCCTTGACTTGGGTTATGCGGTCACTGTAATTTAACAATGAAAGGTCTGTACGGTCTGTGAGAGTTAGGGATACCAGGAGGAGCTGGTATGTACAGTATAGGAGACATCTGGAAATAGTGTTACATTGACAACATTTTGACCTTACAGTTGTTTGATTTATCCAGATTCTTGTACATTCATTTTTCAACATCCAGTATAAATGTTTTCTGTTATTGGCTGACATCCTTCTTTGTACTTTTGTGAACTAGATGACAGATCAGATGCCCTGGTCAATGGAAAAGCAGCAAAATATGTCCCTGTCCCAAAGAAGAGCCTCCCTGACTTGCCGCCCCCCAGAGCAGTAAGTGATTACCAGCTTGATTGCATGAGAGTGGATTAACATGTTGTTGTTTTTAAACCCTGCTACTGTTATGGGAATGGTAATAGCACAATTGACCCCAGTAGAACTCCTGAACTCAATAAAGTACAGGGGAGAGTTCAGTGGAAATCATGATTTTCAACGGTATGCTAAAAGGAGCCCAAAGACAAATTCTGACTCTAAATGAAATTGACAGTATTTTGGTCTTTGGTTACAGTAAGAACATTACTATGACAAAGCACGCTAAGTGTTCAAACTAAACGGCTATGGATTGATATCACATGTTGCCAGAGAATTCCATTGGTTTTTAATGTACTTAAACAAATTCAGTCGATGGCCATACAAGCCAGAAACATTTCCCACAACCCTCAGAGTCACAAACTTGAGGCTATGTGAAATGTATTCTCCCACAGAAACAGGTATTTAATCAGTCACGGGGCAGCAAACCTGGGAAAGTGAGTATCCAAGAGTGTGTAAGGGAGCTGTGGTGTGTTTAATGTCGGCTGGGAGGCCGTTGGCTCCTGAATTGGCCCAGTGTGACTTCAGGAAAAACGTAGAGAATGAGAGGTTTAGGACATCCCGTCAGTGCCTTTGAACTCTGCACACACACACACACACACACACACACACACACACACACACACACACACACACACACACACACACACACACACACACGCACACACAGTGGCCTCCCCTAGTATAAACTACAGTAGCAGCTGTTGCTAATAAGAGCAAATGTGTAGTGTTAGCATGTGTGAGTGTGTGTGTGTTAATATGTGAGTGCATGGGAAAGTGAATGCATCGACACATTTGTGACACTTAACATCAGAATCTTTTTCTATTAGTGTTTTACAATTCATAGTATTTTAGCTAAGAAACCCGAAAAAACGAAACATTGTTTTTCAATTGTGCAGTATTTCACATTTGGAGTAGAGCTTCCACAAATCCCTCAGATGTGTCTGTCAAAGTCATTTCTCCTTCCTCTCCTCCTGCATCCAGCTGTGGCACAACTGGCCCCGTCTTGGGAAGCCTGAGTAAACACGTCCACAGTGAGCCACTCTTTGGAAATCCCTTCATCTGTCTGCGGGGCTTCCATCCATCTCCAGTGATGGAGTATTCAAGAGTAAGCATGTGTTTCACAGTGAACACAGAGTCCGCCCTTATCATTGCAGAGAACAGCGCCCCCTTGCTGTTGATGTAGTCCCCCTGCAAGCCTGTCCACTGGCCTGTCGTGATGTTGTAGCAATCCATCCGGCAGCGAAGGAAGTCGTCAGAAGGCCCGTTGCGCATCAAATATAAATTGTCTCTGTGGGCTACCATACAATGGCCATAGCTCTGAGGTTTGATCATAGTGGTGACAAGTTTCCACTCGTCTTTCACTGGTATGTATTCGTAAATATCTGTAGTGTCTGGTGGTTTCCAGAAGCAAACAAACATCCGCCTTCTTGCAACAGCACAAGCTGCAGATGCTACAGCTCTTGGTGCATTTTTTATAAATGTCCACTCTCCTTTTCCAACGTCGTAACTCTCTGCTGTGGAAATTGTCCGTTTCTGGAATTCGCCTCCAATGGCGTAGAGTCGGCCTTCGAGCCCCAGCAGGGTGAAGTCATATCTTAGTTGCTGAGGACCTGGAAGAACAGTCCAAACCCCAGACTCAGGGTTAAAGCAGAAGCTGCTGTCCACTGTGTCTTTACCGTACCCGTAAACTCCCCCCACAATGTACAACTGATTGTCAAGAACTGCAACTCCCGCCATGGAGGTGCTGCAAAGAGTTGGAAGGTTAGTCAGATGCTTCCAATCTTCCTCTTCTTCATCAAGGTAGCAAGCAACCCTAAAGGAGTCGTGATGCCCTTCCATTGAAGGAGAGTGCGTGCCAAGAGCAATGTAAGAAGCCGGAGACAATGCTTGAGAATATTGAAGCAGTTCATCAGGGATCATACTCTCGGCTGCATCCTTCAAATCTTCAAAAGCATCACACAGAAAAAGGGCAGCATGGTGATAAAGTGCATGCACCCCGAAGACGGATGCTGCATGGTAAAGCAAGAGGCAGTTGTCTGAGTCGATAATGTCACAAAGGTGCTGCACCAAACATTCAACCTGCAGGAAAGCTGCACACTCAACGGCTTCTAGAAGCTCATCCGAGTCATTTAGAGGTGGGGTCTCTCCCCTGCAGACAGCAAGGGCGATGAGGAAACCCCTTGCATGTACTCCTCCTTTCAGGTAGAGCTCGTCCTGGTGAATTTCCGTCATCCCAGACTGATAGAGGGCACTGAAGTAGTTGCTTTTCTTCACAAGCAAGTCCCGCTCCACAGTGAACCAGCTCTCCTCCACCCTGACTCTCACACAGCCCCCCCGGTGCTCTCTGTCCTCCAGATCAAGGGTCTCATTCCCTGCATGAATATCCCGGTTGACTCCCAGGCCTTCAGGCTCTTCCATGGTCTCTTAAACCCTGATCTGTTCTCTTCCCAAATCTCAAGTGACAATGCAGCGTGTGACTCGAGTGTATTTTTGCCATTTTTCCCCCACAACTGGTTGGTAAATAAAGGCTTGTGAGACTTCCATTGCGTCCCGTCGGCATGGTCTGAAAATAGAGTCGTACTATAGATAGCAGCTGCGCCACTCGCAAGCGTCAGCCAAGGAAAGGAAAACTGTTGACATGCACACTGAGCGGTAATGTGGCTGCCGGCAACTGGTCATTATCATAACCCCAATATAATTGGCTAGCATACAGTGGGCACTCGCTGAATTATTCATGATTAGACTGCCAGCACTGCCCCTTCAGGTCCGGTTTAGTTGACAATTCTTACACATGTGTGTTTTCTTCATCCATGGTGTACAGTTAAAATGGGGGAAACCAAAATACAGGTGAAGAGATTCCCAATAAGACAAAATAATACACACCATGCGTAAAATCTGTGTCATGTTATATTTTTCTTGCTTCTCCAGCTGTCTTATTTTTTCATTTTCATTCACGCTTCAAACATTATAAAAAATAGTTTGCATTTCACACAAGTGTGCCCTGCCAAAAAGATACAGAGCAGTGGAAGGATAGGAAAGGCCAAGAGAATTTTTCCGAAAGCTGATTAATTTGATCAATACCTTCTCCTTTGCTCATAGCTCCCGGCAGGCCCTGTGTGTGTGTGTGTGTGTGTGTGTGTGTGTGTGTGTGTGTGTGTGTGTGTGTGTGTGTGTGTGTGTGTGTGTGTGTGTCTGTGTGTGTGTGTGTGTGTGTTTTTTTTTGCTGTGCTGTGCTGGATTCTTGGCATGGGAACCAGGGATTTTCCATGTTTCTCCGAATGTTTCGTTTTTTGGCCTCTTTTTCCCACTCTTTGCTCGAAGCCCCTCCACCACACCCCTGTTCCTCCTCCGCCGCCCCTCTCCTTGCTTTTGTTATTTATGCTCTGACTCCTCCATCCATTCCTTCTACCCGATGTCTCTGTGGTTAGGATATGTGTGTGAGAATTGCAAGAAAGAGACTAAAGTGAATAGTTTAGTGTTGGATTAATTGCTCAGTCTTCTAAAGAAATAAACTTACAGACAAACTGTTCATGTTCATTTTCCCTTTTGCTTTAATATCAGTCCAGCTGGTCTGAGGAATGGGCTGCCATACTCCTCCTTAGCCTTGGCCCAAACAACAGGCAGATTATTATTATTATTTCAGATAAGTGAAATGTGGAGAGAAAGAGAAAGAAGATAGAGATAAGGGTGGTTGGGCGGTCGGGGGGGGGGCTGCTGCTGCTCTGGAATGCCTGCCTCTTTGTTTTAATTAATAACAGATGCCTGAACTGCTGGTTTTTCACCGTGGGGCGGTTTACACTGAGCTTTCGTGTGTGTGTGTACGTGTACACTTCTACTCAAGTCTCTTTCCTCACAGGAAACACTTTTTCTTATGAAGTACCTCACAGGTCTTGAACTTTTGAAGCTGTTCCACTTTTTGGGTTATGTGTTCCCAAAAAACCTCTTTTATGGTTAGTCATATGGATGTTTTCTAAAACCACAACATCACATACTTTATTCCCTATTCCTTCGTCTATTTGATGCAATCTAGTTACACTATTTGATTATTTATACAAAATTATTTATCTTCAATAAAGCTCTTTTTTGGTTTATTTTAGTATGCAAGTATTTTATCAGTCAGTGGCACAATTTGTATTACAGTAGATCCCTTGATCCAAAGTCTTGTTTATTTCCACCATTGTAAAAGTGGCTTAATTCCACTTTGTTGCTGTGATTCGTGGCATCGTCCATCTTGTATCTCCGCATCTAAAAGGTCAGCTAAACATACTGGTGTCCCTTTAACTCATTTATAGTATTCATGGGGCTCGGTCGTGTTTTTATTTAGAATTTTGGCTGAGATTCTGGGACAAAAAATCAGTAGTGAGAGCCAAATAAATTAATGACACACTTAACTCATGATGGCAGACATTCTGGCTAGTTATATGTGTAACTGCAATCATTAACAATGGCTTTGCTCCACCTAACTGTTGGTTTACCGTTGATAAATGATGCACATATCTAAGGCTTTCATACTGGCACATGTAAATGTAATGCCATTTTTGATGGTTATCTGTTACAACTATATTTGAAAGGTCTGTTTTTACCCAGAAATACAAGTTGAAACTTCTCACATCAGTTTACAATTAGGTCATAATTATTATTTGCTTGGCATTGCATCATTATGAAGAGAGAAACTGTAAGTGATATGACATTCTGACATTTGTTTTTGCTGATACATGCATTGTGAAAACAGCTCTATAATGTAAAACTGATGTTACTCTCCTTAAACCGCAGTGATAACATCTGAGTTTTTGAGGCTAATCACACAAACAAGTCTCCGTCACTATGACTGTATGCTCACTCTGACATGACGCCAGTTATTATGACGGCTTACTGCATCTGCTATGTATTACTGCAAATGTGTAAGATATGGTGGGAAAAGAGCTCAAGAGCAGGGAAATCCCTGTTCACTGGAGTCTGACTGTCTAACAGCCCACATTCAGAAATCCTGATTTTTATACAAACAGATTTGTTGTTTAGTATTTTGTTGAATTGTAAATCTAAGCTGCACCAGTAACTCTGGTATAATTATACTGCCACAGATTGGTAACCACCATGCACACTCAAATACTGACTTTTTCATTTTGTTTAATTCATTTTGTCCAAGAGAGAAACTTATTTCCACACCAAGCATTATCAAGTTGATTTCAGGGTTATATTGCAGGAAGGGAATAGCTTGTTGCTGTATCAAACATAGAAGGGAAGCAGTTTTTACCAAGTGATCCCCAGCCTAAATTAAACAAACTCTGATCTTGTGAAATACTTTAAAATGTTCGGCTTACACTTTTTCACAGCTATTGCCTCCCTAAGGCATGGTTTGCATGATTGCTGCAGCTCTGCTTTGCTCCAGGGTTTCATTTCATATTTCTATGATCTTGCAGAAATTGTGACAGCCTTGGGGTAAATAAAATAAATATGAAGGATCACTGGTGGGAAGAAACATTAGACATAGTTAAGTGATCGCTTTTTGTCACTCAACTTGTCGGGTTTCACAGAGTTCACTTGAGAACAAACATCAGACTTTTGCAACATGTACTCGTGAATTTTCCCAAATGTTTTGCCTTCGTGCCACATTAACAGAATAGTTTTGATCTGTAAGAGGGGGATAAGTATAAGTGAGAATTCTCTCTGTATGGACGTTCATCTTCATCGTCCATCTTTCCTCCATGATGTTTCTCTCTATGTTGGTAGAGAAAAACATCATCTTCACTGGCAGTCACTGAATTTTTATAGCAGGTACGTCATCTTAGATTTAGTATGTTCAAAGCAGGACAAAACTTGCATATCTTTAATCTTCTGCTTGCCACTATAGATAAGTAGATAGCTGGAGACTTGTATTCAAAGGTTAAATTCCAACTTACAGGGAGTTTCAGAGTATGACTCTGAAAGGGATTTGTCATTACATTACATGTTGCTTATTAAATGCTTTTATCCAAAGTGACTTACATACTCAATACTGTGGGCAATCCCCACAGGAGCAATTTGGGTGAAGTGTCTTGCCTAGAGACACAACGACATGCTGACTACAGTGGGGTTTGAACCTGTGACCCTCTAATCCGAACACCTACACACAAACCACTGCGCCACACGCCTCCTTGTCAATGCTCAACACCTGATGATGTAATTCCAGCCTGACATTTAAATAAACTAATCACCAGGAGGTTGAAATAATGTCTTTCACAATTTCAGAGGATAATAACATATTTTTAAATAAATGTGACTGTATCCCTGAATCCTTGTTTGTAGTGGATCTATTGTATTTTTTTGTTTGAATAAACAAGAATTGGCAGCAAATGCCAGATGTGTGGTTGTATGACACTGCACAAATGGATAGATAATGAAACATTGCACAACCTTCATGTTTAATAGGCAAGGCAAGTTTATTTATACAGCAACTTTCAACACAAGGCAATTCAAAGTGCTTTACAAAAATGAAAGACATTAAGAGCATTAAGAAACATATTATAAAATGACATTTAAAAACACTCATTTAAAAGCAAAGATAATAAAAGTTACAGTGCAGTCTAAGATATGAATATATCAATTAAAAGCAACGGCAAAAAGAAAAGTCTTCAGCCTGGATTTAAAAGTAGTCAGAGTTGCAGGGGACCTGCAGGTTTCTGGGAGTTTGTTCCAGATATTTGGAGCATAATAACTGAACACTGCTTCTCCATGTTTAGTTCTGACTCTGGGGACAGAAAGCTGATCAGTCCCTGAAGACCTGAGAGATCTGGATGGTTCATAATTTAGCAGGTCCCTTTAGGGACAAGTGAACCTAGACTGGACGAGATTGATCAGGGGTGTAAGTTTTAGGACTAAAAATATGTTTGTCTAACAACGAAATCATAAAAACAACTTAACATTTAGATTCGGTCGGTCATTGAGACCAATTCAATTATGACGGTGTCTAACCATTGGGTGGTACGTGTGGTTTATGACTGAAAGTAAAACAAATTAGATTAAAACAGGTTCCGTCTCTTTGAATAAAGGTGTGGTTCTAATAAGCCAGTGATGTTTTAGTAATCTTCGACGTCGACTAAGTCTTCGACGACGAGTCAGGAGGATTGAGATGGTCTTTCAGCCTAGTGTAGTGGAGGTCAAGACTTCGAAATGGACGGAAGGACACACAGGTTCTAAATTTAAGTTTTATGACGACGACAAATATTTCGAACTTACCCAAACCGAGGGTTTTATGTA